TTTCTGGGAATTGAAATAATCTGTTACTTTTAAGTTGACCTTTATTGTAGCAATATTGTTTGTTTATTTAACTAGTTGCTTTGTTGTTGTTGTTGTGTTCTTCTTCTCATTTTTTGTATATGATATTAATGTAAATCAGTTTGTAATACTTTTTTCTTGCCTGCATAGATGGCGCCATCCGATGAAATGGATATGATATTCATAACGAGATTTGATACACATATGAATATAGATAGATAAATATTAGATTTGTTTATGAACATAAATTATTATTAAATGTATTTAATGAATGCTTGATTTATCAGTTTCAGACAAAAAAGAACGTGCAATTTTATCATTTAACCACCATGTCTGGTTTAAAGTAATAACGTTATTAATGCTAATATTGAATAATGGCCTCCCATTGGTTTCTCGCGATAAAATGACTATCCCAATAACAGGTAATAACCAAATATAGAAGGAACCAAATAAATTTCAGAATGTAGAAATACCAGTGTACGTACATACGTGCGAAAAACATTTATAATTCGCTGTCGGTTATAACATACAACATTAGTGAAGTTCCAAATGAAACAATCGAAGATGTCATACATACAAATGAAAAAAATGAGTAATGCTGGCAGAATTATTAATTATACACTATCTACAATTAACGAAGCTCGTCATAAAATCACCGAATTTGTAGCGATAATCTTCAAAAATGATTGCTAAATCAATATCTAAATTACTTTTGTGGTAAGCTCAAAATGTTGCATTTAAGAATGGTTTTGATAAAAAAAACTTTCAATCAGATCTATTTTTAAGGTTGATAAGTAATTTACTAAAAGGCTACACTTTAGACAGCGGAACAAAATTACACAAACTCTGCTCCATGTACCTACTATAATAATTGTTCATGCAAGTTGATTTATCTCGTGTAAAGTTAAGCCAACGTAACTATAGCAGTATAAAACATATTGTCACTGATTTTACAAGATTGTCCTATGACCTTGACCAGATAAATGAAGACATTGTAAATGCTTGTGAATTAAAAACAAGTATGAGTAAATATGCAAGTTTTTTTAATTCAAACAATGTTGTTGTTTTTTTCAATATTTTAATTAAGATATAATAAGATATATGTTATTCCATTATTACAAAATAAATGATTTTTGTATGAAGAATGACAATATCATAAAAAAGGTAAAACAATCATGAGTGGTGAAATTGATCAAGGTAAAATGGTAATTTATTTTATGTACGCGTTTGTTCAAATGCTTCTACATTTAAATGTAGAACATGCACGATTTTTTCGTGAAAAAGAGGTAAGAATGAAGGCATTTACACTGTGTTTAACAAACAGAAAAGGAAATGTTTCAGCTAAATTATGCTTGTTTAGCAAATGCCGGCATAATCCAGGATCCATTATCTTGTGGACATGGAAGTACGAGTTTATATCAAATATTATTTCTGTAACTGTGTGCTTAAAAATGGATTCTTTAAAAAAAGAAATACAAAAACAAACAAAAAACACTACAAATATAATTGTAATAATGATTTAGTTTTATAGAAAATTGTCATGTCATATAATATATCGATGAAACAGATGATTAACTGCGTTTCATTTCTGCCAATTAGTAGTTCGTTATTGCCATATTTACTTTAAAATTTCTACAGAAAAAAACAGGACAATTACTTGCTAAGTAGATATATAAGGCTTCTAATGGACAAAGAACATTAGAGTCACTATATGAGCCTATGGTGACAGTATTAATGGACATTAGAAATATGGACAAAACTCGAGGACAAACTAAAGTATGTGCTAAATATCATTAATGTATGTCAATAACAACTGAAACACGTTTGTATTCTCTTTGTCAAATTTATACCTATTTGTATTTTCAACCGTTTGTTCGTACAAAAAAATTATAGTAAATATTTTACTTAAGGTCTCAGCGGACGAAAGGATTTACTAGTAGTTGTACAAGATAATTTTAAAGATATATTATAATTTTCAAATCTTCACAACCGTAATAATATATTATATGAATCATCATGTTTCCCTCCAAACACTTTCCCCTCCCCTTAGTTGATCCCTAGCATAATTTAGACAATAAGATCTGGAGTGTGTGTAAATATAAATACTATTGGTGTTGACCATTTAAGAGATTGTTTAAGAAGTATATAAGTTTCGGCGTGGAAACAAGGAGGGAGTATTTCTGGAATAGCTTAGCGCCCAAACCCTGTTCTGTATTCAGGTTTCATATAGAAAACTTTTTGTTGTCTATTGTAAGAATGGTGCCATGTGTTTTAAAAAGATAATGTGTAGTCCTTTTTGAGTAATTTGGCATTTATATCCCACATATTAGGCTCCAGAAAAGTTTTTTAGCAGTCTCTTTACCCCACCGCATTTCTGTGTTTACATACATGTATACATATTGATATGAAAAGCCCTATGATCACAACATTGAACAGTAATCGTTACTATTTTCTGCAACAGTAATATATGTTAATAATCAATCATTCTTTTTCCTCTTGCAATGGCAATTTCATATTTATTTTTACACCATTAAGGTAATCTACTGTAATGTTTACCCGTCAAAACATTCTAACAACGGCCGATGTCGTAATAAATCGGTCTTTTCCACACAATTTTCGGTATTCAATAAATCTTAATCATTTTTAACCTGAATTGAGTACATGTCGATAAGGAATGAGTGACTGTAAATAATCTTGTACCCGAGATATTAAAAGATTCCGAAAATTCAGATTTGCAACGATATTGGCCAATGTAAGAATTTTTTGGCGGGAAGGCATTTCAGCATGACTATCTTAATTACACCCATCTGTTTACGTTGAGTGATATAATGAATTAATTTTACTGTTCAAATTTTAAGTGATATGAGAACAAATTTAATATATAAAAACCGTTTAGATGCGTCCCTATATCTTAATATCTGAAAAGAAGACTAGATTACTTGCCATATTTAATTAAATAGTGTTTATTGATCATATCAAATAATTTATGCACATTATGCACATTATATGGTAACTCTGTTATTAAGGCACTTACGATATAGTTCTTGTGTGCGCTTGCTTGGTCAACAATTTTTGCATATTTGTTCTTTTTACATCAAATAAAAAATAAACGCATGCTTTCATATAACTTTGTTTGCTCTCTTAGACAATTCCATCATGTTTTTTCTTCATTAAGTGAATATTGATTCAGATAATTTCATACACCATTAGTCTATTCCCAGTGTTGTAATTTATGGAATTATATTCAATGTATTCATATATTTTAGAATGTCTAATTGAACCACTGAATTATTTTACAAATTAGATTATTCTTACATCTGAAATTGTGTAAGATACACCACCACTAATCTAAAGTTGGACCTTTTGTAAAATCTAATTTGCATTAACTGCATTACAGTAATTGCATTACAGTAATTGCAAATATGTTATACAATAAATCTTTAATTGCATTACAGTAATTGCAAATATGTTATACAATTAATCTTTAAAGCATAGATTTTATATGATTTTCTTATTTCATATTGAAAATATAAGATAAAAGCTATATAAAATGTTTTAATAACGTTTTAATTGCAACAATTGTTTTAACGGAATTATGGTATCTTCATATGTTGAAGGTTTAATGCTATATCAATCTACAACTGCTGGCTCAGTACTGAGTCAAGGTAGGCATACAATCTAGAAACATATGACAAGTAGTTAAATCATAATTTGTTTTTTTATGTTTAATTGGCTTTGTTTAAGAATGACAAACTATTCAAATAATTTTCAATCATTGTCTGCAAAATATTATTCAAAATTAAATCCGAAAACTGTATTAATGTGCTTTATTTTCTTTGCAAAGCTTCGGTATGATAAACGTCAAAGTATAATAACATAAAGTGCAAAATAAGGAAAAAATAGATATTTTGATTTTGGAAATAAATCAAAATTTTCTGAAATTTGCCAATTAAGCATTTTATTGTTACATTCTTTGTATTGAAAAATATTGTCTGTAGTTACTTTGAATAATAAGTACAGTAGTAATTATAAAAGTATAGTATGCGATTTAAAGTACAGTATTCTAACAATACTTTATAATTATTAAAGTAGATTGGTCTAAAATGGGCATATCTCACATAATTGTTTCAAACATTTATAACATCAATACATATGTATCATTTGGATAGTGAAAGTGAAGTGTTTTGTTATTAATATTTATTTGGTGAAGTATAACATTTTGTTCTTAAACAAATTATTGTTTGCTATATAAAGATATGTAATATCGGATCATGTATCTCAGACATACCAACAATATTCATACATAAACATTGGTTTGTTTAGGGATTCTGTTGTCCTGTAAATGCCATAAACGTAATTGTTATGATATTACAGTCCTTTTTTATATACAAATCCACTAAAAGTGTAACATACTTATGTTCCGTTGTTTATAAATCTTAATCTTTTGACAATACGTAACCAGCAAATCCATTTTTATGAAGAAGGGGAATTACTCACAGCAGATTCTAATAAAGCTAACAGGAAAGTCAGTACAGGGCATCTCGCAAGAGTAATTGCTTTATGGCGTGTCTTCATTAGAAACACAATTACGTACGTCATTTGTCGTAATTTGTTTGACAACACTAAAATTGGCTGACATTATTTTTTTTTAAATATTATAAGCAACATAGCCTCGTAATGCCATGGCGATTACAAGATAAAAGACGCATGTACACAACGATAATATTTCAATTATGTTTATTTTCTTAATTTTTGAATTGTTACAATGCATAATTTCATTAGATTGTTCTAATTTCAATTTTGAACAAAATGTCCATACCTTTGAAATATTTTGACGATAGCAAGGTGATTGTAAACAATAAGCTATTTTTATCAATTCAATAAACATATGAAATGGAGATAAAACACATTAAACTTTGTGCTTATTATGTACTAATAAAGAGAACAAATAAGTAATACATACTCTTATTCTTATGTTTTTTCTTTTTAACCTGAGATTCATCAAATAAAAAATAACATATAATAATACAATGATCATTTGTTTCCTACAATGAAGACAATTTATGATATGATACTATTATAATGCATCTTTTTATTTTTCTAAATACTTGTTAAGTATTTATAATCAGTCATCAATCAGACTCATCTCGAGTCAAATCCAAAATTCAGTTGTGTTAATGTATTCGTATGATGAGTGTTTATTTCGGAATTTCTTTTGAAAAATAACCTTCCTTAAGCCCTTCCATCATATATATAAACACCCGACTCCATACATCCATTACTTCCGGTGTGAACTTCTCTTTAATGCAGAATTCCCAACGCCAAATAAGTGCCTTGTAAAAAACCTCAAAATATTCTGGTTTGAAACCTGAATAGTTCTTGTGTTGTTGACCAAGAATATATAACACTTCTCTAAGCTTGTCCGGCTGTCCACTGGTCTCATTCAAACAACTTACAGCAGCACCTATTGCATTCATAAACCGCGTTCCGTGTCCTTTTATTACTTGATTCCTTGCAAGTTCAGACAATCGAGCATTTTCCACATGAAATAACACTTTAGTTTCAGGGCATGTTTCGAATATCCTTAGAAACACTTGTAGTCCATTCTCAGATAAGTCCTTTGTCATGATATGCCATGTTGACAGAATTATACGTTTTTCGTCTTCACTCAGTTCATGTTTTTGTACTGAAGTTACAGTTAAATGAGGTTGCACTGTTTGTCCTATACTTAAAGATGATTTTAGTACCGTGATTGAGTTTGTGCAGCCCATTTAGTTCCTTCGTGTACTTACTAGGAATATCTTTTGTTGTGATGTCTAACCTTATGTCCGTGTTATACAAAAAATATAAGTCGATAATATTTTGCGTTGTTTCTGGAGCTTCATAAGCATTATTTTATTCCAAAGCATGTAATCAAGATTTATGTTTTTCTAATTCTCCTACAGCTTTTTAAAACATTTGTTACCGCCATTGTAAAGTCATATCCGTCTGTTTGATTTGCGTAAGCTGTCTCCTGAGTAAGGTTTGAATTGACAACCACATCAAGTGACGTTTCAGTCAATATACTTAGACGTTAGTGAACGTTTAGGGATGAAAAGAGTGATATAAAATTCCGATACAATCTGCTCTCTGCTATTGTTTTTATCTTCAGCCAGACTGAAAGTCTGAAGTTGCTTTATTGGTTTATTAAGCACGATCAGCTTTTTCATTAACTGTTAATCTCATTTATGAATGAATCGTTTTAACTGACACAAGAAATATATTGTTAAGTCGTTATTTACATTTTTGAATAATGTTTTTATGTTAGTCACTGTGATACATTAGTTACAAAATACATATAAATGTTTCAGAACTGTTTATTTTTTACATTATCATAACAAAAACATATTAAAATGATGTCGTAAAGAAGGGGCGAACGTTCATTTACGTGACATTTTGATTTTACTTCAGTATTGCTTTAGAAGTTTCGTTGCAGTTAAGCACTTACTTCTGTTCACTTCATTTTGAATGTTTCCTAAGTGAACAAAATCGATTGTAGTCAGATGAAAGTCATTTACAAAGCAATGAAGTACGGCCTTAGACAAATATGTTGGAAAATATATGACATAGAAGACTCTTACTTATAACTTTATTTGTAATATGTAATTTAAATAAATCTATACATTGTAAAACAATTGTATCGTCATGTATTGTGACGATTCAAGTACAATAACAGTTGAAAAACTCTTCTTAGGCCAGTGATATATGGGGATTTGAGAGATGTTAAATAAATGGTTATCTCTTATGAAAATGACACAAAGAAATCTAGTCCGCAATTTACACATTTGCTTTTATTGTTATTTTTATCTCCTTTTCCTTGAGTGTTAAAGAACTTGATATAACGTCTTCTTCAAGAAGGATTGAAAAACATTTAAGATTCATTTTCTGACCGAGAAGCACTAAGAAGCCATCACACTCATTCTGTATTAGATTTTCGTTATTTCATGCAAGCGGCATAGAATTATCTCATTAAACACTTTGAAGTTATAATGTTGACATAAGCAATTGACATAAAAAAATGATTACGCGTGTAATTTAGTGTTATAAATAATATGGCATTTGAATGAGGTTATTTTAAAATAAAAACTTAACATGAAAATATCACTGAAAACGTGCCACTCATGATAATTATTATATGGTGTTCAAATAATAATTTGAAACAAACTAATGTTCCCTTAATTGAGTTTATTGACGTAAAATATTTAATATTTATGCTTCCATCATACTGTTATAGGGACGAAATCCTGATAAAAGCTTGTCGCCTATTGCTCCATACTTATGTCAAGATTAATTGAGCCTTAATTACCTATAAATTAGGTTCTTATTTTGTTTCCTAAACTGTACGCTAAGTAAAGTTCACATGTAACATTCAACTCGACCGTTTCTTGACATTGAAGTACGCAATTTATATAATTAGCATCAACTCTTCACGGGGAACAAGGACTTTATATCAATCTCAAAGATATTTATAAATACGGAAGAAGATGAAATTTACAAACTGACCAAACCGATTAATAAAAATTGTTCGATCTAAACTGAATTCAATTGTATTGAATTTTCATTTGTTATGTCTTTTATTAAATTGGCAAAGTACCTGTATTCATTATATTCTAGGTACAAACATGATGCTCATCAAATGATTAAATGATTGATTTGTATCTAATTAATATCTAAATTAAATGATTGAACCAATAATTCAACAGATAAAAAAAATTTCTTTGTTTCGTTGCTCTTTTATTTTAAAAATGAATATATTTCTTATTTTCAAATAGTGGTTGAGTAAAAAAATGCCCACAAATATGCATATAGTTACTAGGAATAAATGAATTTTTACGGGCATTTGAACTGTTGATATATTTATAGTGAGGAGCAAATATAAGAAATGAACCTGTTTGTATTTTGCTTTATTAAGATATGATAAACAAGACCAACAAGGAAAGGCGGCGTTCAATGAACGCAACCCCCATATGACCCAGCAACAAGAACCAATGACAAGGAGCCCAGGCGGACCCCAAACATAAAAAGGACAGGGCAACGACACGTTAATCATTGTAAATTTGTAAATGATTACGAATTCAAAGAAAATAATAAAAGGCCCACAAAGGGGAAGGGAGCAGGAGACCGGGAGAAATTGGGGGGGGGGGTAATCAAAGAAATAAAAACTAGAGGTAATGGGGAAGATACTTACCGTAGACGAGAAAACAACAAGGGACACAAGCAAAAGTGTCACCAAAACAGTATGAAACAACATAGACATACATCTGAGGAACATAGTCGGGCGTCGCCTTGAAACGGTAGGCAGCATAATAATGACTGCTGATGAGTTTAAACCGGTAAATGGTGCACCAAACCTCGCTCTTAGCCCCACCATGTTCCTATAAACGAGACAGTGTAAATAAAATGAATCTCCGCCAAGTGAAATTCTAACAGTTGTCATGGTTACAAAAGGTTAAATAAGTAAAACACTAAAATGATCATGTAGAAACATATAAAAGTAAACCCAATAACCAAAACAAAAGTACTCAATGTCCTAAAGGAAGACAAAGCAATAAGAAAATCACCTACAAGGGCCCGAAGAAGCAAGGCAGAAGACGAACATTAAGACAATTCAGTCCCAAAGGGCTTTACGAACTATCCATCATAGAGTCTCCCACTTGGTCCGTCAGATGCAATCAAAAGAGGAAAGCGTAGTGTCCAACTGTAAAAGGGTTGAACACTAAACATGCAGTATGTCTTAAAATAGTAGGGTCATAACCTCTTTTAATAAAACGTTTAATGATTTAAGTAATAACAGCAGAAAAATTACCATGACCCAAAATCTTACGAAGTTTGTTAACCACATCGCCATAAAAACCAGGCTGGCTAATCCCTTGTCGCAGAAGAGCTTTTAAATCACTATTGAATTTAGAAATTAAATCAAAGTTACGATTGTAAAATTAAGTAAAATATTTCCGTAATTTATGATAGCAGCCTAAATTAATTAGCCAGATCATGATCATTTTACCACATAGTGTCCTCTTGTCAATTAATTAGCAATATTTTCCTGTTCAGAACATAATATCTTGTAATTTTGATATTTTGATACTACCATGCTAGTTTTTTTATTCGTTTTTTCATAATTGGGCTAGACAAATAACAAATTAATAAATTAATCAATAATAAACGGACATGCACATGCAAATAAAAGGTTTTAACTTTAAACTTAATTTTTGAGCAGCTATTGATTGATTTTTTGAAACACGACTTTTTACAGTAGTTCAATATTTCTTATGCCGATATCTAAAGTTTACAAATTAATTTACGATTTTTGTCATCTTAAGGTAAAAAATTATCCCTAATTGGCACTTGTTCGAAAATTGTACGATTGACAACACAAGACAGTTATATGCCTAAAAGGTCAAATGTATGCAACATTTTAACAAAATTTGCCGTGCGGTTTTTGAGATATGGACATTTTTTCTCAACTAAAACAGTGCTATTACAAGGGCTCTTTTTCAGAAATGAGGAAACTCTAAATAATCCATATCATCATTATGAAAAATATTTTCCCATTGCTCATTGTCAAGAAACAAATAATAACATTCAGGTAACAAATTACACGAGCAAAATGATTGTTTCTAAACAAAATGTTTTTGATATGTATAACAATTTTACCTTACCCCCCACCAACTTTAAACACTTTGACCGTGTAAAAGCCTTATTCAAAATATCCCTGAAATTTACCATAATGAGGGGCTGTTTTCAAAGTTTGCCTTTATTTTTTTAAATGTGTATTGGCTGATTTTGAAAAATATAAGATACTTTAACCGTGTAGTTTTTATTTTATCACACTTTGAAAATATCTGGTATGACATTTGCTATTAAATTTGGAATTATCCAGCACCGTAACACCTTTTCTTTCCATAAGGGATCTGAGAAATACATAAATAATGTTAAGAAGAAAGAAAAAAAAGAAAAGTTGCCTCTTCTGGGGTTTGAACCAACGCCCCTCAGTTTCAATGCAACTGACAGCGATTCTAGCCTATTTGAATACTCTTCAAAGTGGTGTTAAAGCATTAGGGTATACAACCTTAAGCTAGTTTCTTTCATAAGATTTATTCATTGTATAACAATCATTCTTTACACAATTCTTTTAAAATCACATGCCCTAACAATTCCTTAATAAAATATCAAAAGTATTTTTATCATGACGTTTTCTGTCTTCCATGTAGTGAGTTATTCTACATAGCCTCAGATATTTGATAATGTACGGTTGTACTTTGTAAATTACTTGTGGTTTGCGTAGTGTGGTAACAATATTTCAATATTAGTCGGTTGATTAGAACAAATGGATTTTATTCACTTTCTTCGATCATAAACAAGCTGCCAGTGACATCCGACAAAGCTCCTTGCGCATTTCAGTAGAGAACATTTATCATACTGAGAAGATCTTAGCTCTTTGGGCACAATGCAGTATTAATGGCCAGCAGCATTGCCCAGGCATGCTAGGAATTATACTACTTCAAAGTAGCAATAATTAACAAATGATACGGCTTTGTCATTTCATTAAAAGCTTTTATATCTCATTTTGATAATTTGTTATTTTATATTAAATCTGAAAACAAAGCATTAGGGAACAAAAGCCTGACTATAGATAAAATATTGATTTTAAAACGTTTAGTTATGAAACTATTTTTGAGATTAAATATACATTTGCTAAAATATGAGAACACGGACCGTCAACGCTATGATCACTAAATGGATCCACAGCTCAAAGAACCACGTCAATGGCGCAGCGCAATATAGTGTCTAGTGTATTCTTGTAACTATATGTACAAAAAATAGATAATAAAAACGATTGTAGGATCTGCATTTACTTAAAATAATCGTTGAGTATGACTTGATTATGATTACTGGCAATTTCAAAAACTACTAAAATAGATAAATACAGAATCCCTAAAGAAAGCCCAACATGACAAAATTGAAAATGTTGCAGGCTCGGTTTGATTGAGTCTGTTCGGCACCGGCTTAAGCAGAATTCAACATATAAACATGAAATAGTAAAATTTGAATTTAGAAACATTCGCAGATGTGTTCATACGGCGGTTATCATGGAACCTTCAATGTGACACTGGAGTGCCATTCCATGAAAAGCGGCGTATGATCCCCAAGTAATAATTAAAATGGAATTTTGAAAGGGGATCAGGGGTTATGGTTATGAAGCCTGCATATCACAGATAATTTGTCAAAAGACAAATTTAAAAAGCAGGCAACATATCCTAAGGGTGATTCAACATTATTCAAGTAGCAATATTGGAACCACCCAACTATAAAATGCCGAAAAGTTTATTAAACTAAACATACCACTAGCACAACAATAATGTCGTGCTGAACGATATTCACTAGTATATCTTAAACACAGCTTTTTACTATTTCATTCATTTATTTTACCTTTGTTCATTGAATATCCGTTGTATAAGTTTTATTGCATCAGATTCCTACCATGCTTATCTTGAAAAGGTCTTTCTATCTTATTATAGGTAACAGCACTTATCTAAACGTGTATTTCAACAATTATTGATAAAGTAACTGTTACCTGGCTTCATTATAAAATGATTTTACATTTACCTCCCTTCGTAAAACTCTGTAATTCTTGACGAGTGAGCCTTATGTATGTTAAAAATCAAAAAAAGGTTTTAGAAAAATGAGGATTTCACAAACACAATTAAGAGGATACTTTAAACAAACATCTTTGTAGTGTACCTATCTTTTTGTAGTGTACTACTATAAGAAGGAATTTTATCATTTGTTGGCAACAGCGTTTCTTAGTGGTCACGTCATATTTAAACCCTTCAACATCACACTCAAGTATTGTTATCATTTACTGGCTTTCATCCAAGGCGTGTCCAAATTAAATTCTCTTCTATAGCGATAATAAAGGTAAACTGGTAAACATTTATAATTTATTTATCTTCTAATGTGAAAGAAATGCACAAAAATGATATGTGATTGAATTTTTAAACAACAAGTAAACATGTGATATAGTGTAAATTATATCTCATAGTTTCATTCTCCTTTACAAAATAATCAAACATTTATTTTTTTTAAAGGTGATTAAAAGTAAACTTATTCTTATTATCAATATGTATTAATACCCATTTTTACATTCTAACAACTCTAACTGTTCAAAACACAGTTACTATAATAGTTTTTGTACAATACCGTACAATGGTGTATATCAAAATTACTAAACAAAACATCGCTCCAGAAAAAAATGTTTGCTGTTTATCTTATTGCTTTTTACTTATTTTCTGATATGTTTATGTAAACATGATGATGATAGAAAGAATATCCTCTAATATAATGAATTCCTTAAGATTTTATTTAAATATATATATTATATATATATTGTATTTCTTGTGCTTACGCCATTTGTTGTGATACAAAAAAATGCGAAAAGTGTTCTGCAAAACAAACCAACTCTCTGTCATCAAGGTCATTATTAGCTCTATATCCGGACCTCTTTAAATGTAAATGTTTTGATAATCGTTTATTAATGATGCCAATTAAGTGACGTCAGTCTGACGTTCTATTAGCAAGGTCATTATCTTACGATAGCAAAGTAGCTTGCCTGTACGTTTATCATTGAGCATCTAAATGACGTGTGGCATCATATGTTTACAGCTATGTTTGTCAATCATTTTCAATCATTTTGTAACTGCTTCTTTTTAATCCAAGAGAACTAGCAAATTCATATTAAAAGTCCTCTCCGCCGGTGATAATCATATGGTTAGACCTACGCGGTTTATAAATTAGTACGCATTTTAAGTATATTTCAGAATATTTTGATTTTAATGATTTAATTTTTTTTACACACAATTATTAATTTTTTCATTTGACAAACATACATGTTTATCTAAATATGCAAAACATACAAGCGACAGACCGAAGAAGGTGACAGTTCAACTTCTTGAATTATCATGTTCATCTTTACGAACTAGCAGTTTCATCTTCATGATTTCACAAAATCAACATACAGAATTCACCAATTCACGATTTTAACTTCATAAATTCAAGATTTCAACTCGATGAATTCACTATTTCTACTAAACGAATTCCCGATTTCAATTTCACGAATTCAACTTAATGAATTCACGTTTCGAATTTCACAGTTTCGATTGTTAACCTTAAATCGAAAATTTGAGAATTATGTATGCTACTATTTCAAGCAATGTAAACAAAAAAATAACAGAAATAAAAATACCAAACGAAAGATTTTATCTTTAAGATGCTTTCTAAGTATTTTATTTCATACTAAACCTTCTTTCCTATTAAAGTTAAGTTAAAGGTAATTGATCTCAAATGATGTTACAGTATTGAGATTGTTTCCGATTTTTAAAGTATTGTCATCACACTAAAAGCAGAAGACAATTTATTATCTATTTTTGTCATTTACAACAAGACACTGACATAACATTAGGATGGTCAAAATATTGCGTCGTTATTTCTGTCTAACGAATGTCAAATTAGAATTAATTAACAGTTAATTAAATAAACGAAAAAGTGAATTAGAAAATAAACAAAAATAGGTCTTTTCGATAATCTTAAAATATGTTAATTTCATGATTTATTATTATCATTCACCTCCATCATCAACACCGATTTATATTTTTAAAGAAGAATATAAAAAATGAAATCTAACAATCCTACGTTGAAATTGCTTGAGATTAATGATCAAAGTACATTTTTTACATAATATCGTGGTATACTAGTAAAAATTGCTGAAAACTAGCGATCAATTAACATTTTTACATATTGTCTTGTTAACTGTTACAAACATATCGATCTAAAAAATGTCTTTTAATATAAGTATTTACTTAAAGAGGAAATGTTACATATATATTCTACTTAAGACCTATTTCCTGTAACAAGGAGACATTAAATGAATTGTTAATGCCGTACATGTATGATAGATAAAAACAGTTACTTTTGTCATAAATTACATACAAGGATTTCCCATCGTTTTTATTTATTTTAATGAGAATCAGACACGAAACATTACGTTAAGTCAGGACTATAAAATGTTGGAATTAAAAAACTCATGTATCAGTTAACTTTTGGTGATACGTTAAATTGTTTAAAAAAAATGATCTCTAAAGAATGTTTAGATACGTTACAATAAACGATAAAAAAACTCTCTAAAAATTAAACTGTAGGGACACTTTGGTGGTTAGGAATGATGTACTTTTTATGTTGAATTACTATTGTACAGGTTGGATTTTATTATATTTGTGAATAACTAGGGCTTATCAACTTAACATAATGTTACATGCTAATGTATAGAAATAAATTTGGATTTAAACACATCTTCTCACGAGAATGGGTTGTACAAGCTCGATATCCTACAAGAAAGTGTCATGTAAACATTACAACTCCTTTCTTGCCAGTCAAAAATCCACATCAGCAGTCACTGCAAACAAGATTGAACTTTTGCCTCGAGAACGTGTAATTGTGCAACGGTCATGGCCAGCTTTGCAAAAGGATTTACAAGGAAATGGTCTGCAAGTGTTTCTTAAAATATTTGAACTGTGTCCTGAAGTGAAATCTCTTTTCTCTGTTGAAAATGTTCGCCATTCACAACTTGCGAAGAACGCTATGATCAAAGCACACGGAGCTCGCTTTATCAAAGCAATAGGAGTAACGATCAACGATAATGAAGAATTTGAGCATGATGAAAACAAGTTATGCAAATATTTGTTCGTTTTAGGACATCAGCATAAACGATTCGCCAGATTTAAATCTGAATATTTTGAAATATTCTATGACGCTTTAATGTGGCAATGGGGGCGGTGTTTAGGGGAAAACTTCACGCAGGAAGTGTCAGATGCCTGGAGTCGTGTATTTGTTTTTCTGATGGTAAAACTGAGGGAAGGCTACTGTTCAAACGAGGAACAGTTGAGCAAAATATAACTGAAACATGACTGTTTTACTGTTTTTATTGTCGAATCGCAAGTACTACACATTTTACTTGCGAGGATAAAATACAAAAATAAAACATACAGTACTTAAGAATATTCGGCCTAACATTTCGATCTCGGTAAACATTAACATAATACAAAAAGCGCATTTAAATGTAAATATTTGAATCAGTTGTTAAAACATAAACATATCACAGTATGGATTTGTTTGAATTTTCAACAACATTAAATCATATGTCATCTTTAGTTGTTTGAGAGTTTAATTTCTTATTTTATGCAATATAAATATCAGTGATGTCAAGAAAATAAAAAAAGACATGTATATCTTTTCTTTATGTTGGACAATAAATTTATTTACGATTCGTGGTTAGACAAAGTTACAATTTTGCTGACACACTCTAATGTAATTTCATTATATACATGTATTGTTCTTGCCTGTGATTAATCTACGATTTTAAATATAAAACATCAACAGTGTATATCAAAGATGTTTCATATAGTAAATGATAGCATATATATCGATGTTTTTTCTCACTGATCCAGCTTTCATAAAATGCTAAACATCGTTAAACCATTAGACGGTATTGGAATGTAACAATGCACCACATGCACTTGCAGTCGCGCATGCACTTAATTGAAAAGTTTAAGTTCTGTCAGTCTCTTGACTTTCATTTATGTAAGTCTCTTGTATTGGAGTTATGTTACCGTAAGGAGGACAAAGACATTTCCATTAAACGTTACGATAAGTGAACATGTTGAACTTTTCTTCCAAAAAGGGACATAACTGGAAGAAAATCCTTTATTTCGCAAAAGCAACAATAAAATAAAGTTTGTCGCATTGAATTTCAGCCAACTTTGCACATTGACGGATAATTTAATAACAATACATAGAACAGAACAACAGAACAAATATTTTATTATTTTCCGACTTTGGTATATGCTCCTCTTCTTAACAGAAATACAGTATATATCAAGGTATCACATAAACATTACAAAAGTATGAATATTCTTATATAAATATATATACACATCAGTACATAATTATTTATCATGAGAGTGATATAATATAATGGTTATTTATACAAAGTCGGATTACAATTATATTATTTTCTTAAAATATCGAACAATTGTTATCCCGGCAAGAGAAATGCACTTGCTATACTTTTAAGGCTACTAAGTATTTCTACAGCAATATAATATTGAAACAAAAGCAATAAACTATAGTACTTCTTTGGAATATATTTCTATTACAGACTCAAATAATTTATACAATGAGTATAATACGATGTTAACAAATTACTCCTTATTTTCAATGCACAATTCAGATAGCAAGCTAGATTGTTCAAAGTGTGTACATTCTATGATTTAAACAACTGAGTGAGTTTAAACACACTAGGACGTTCGTAATAATAATTGTTTATATATCGTTTTCTTACACTTTTATACTTTGTACATGTTAAGATAAAATGATATTCATCTTCAATGTCATTTGATCTACATATTTCGCAAACTCTCTCGCTCCTTTCTATCCTATTCTGTCCGTATCTACCGGACTCAATACTTTGTTAATGTGAAGAGAGTCTTAACTTTGTTAAAACTTGTCTACACTTTTTTGATCTAACAACACTCAGGTAATCCTCAAACACAATGTCTTGTTTAACATTCTTAAATAGTCACGTAAATATAGGAAAGATGTGTTTGTAAATAAATAGATACACGGTTTTGAGTTATATGTTCTTGAAAATTATGTGTTATGACTTAAGTCCTAGCGAGCGTTTGACTCGTATTTAAGCGAATAAAATGCTTTTTGCAGCCATCTTTTTCTGGCCATAATCTAGCTGGTTTACAAACATACTCTTATTACCAATTGCGGTTCCAGATATATTAAATGAACAAGTTCACATTTATTTTTATACAGTCTAGATCAACTTTATACACAGGATAGTGGCCTTCTCCTATGCCTTTACTCTGGAGCTAATTTGTTTTACGAGCTTCAAATAACTTTATTAAATAATGTAATATTAAGCACATAGTTCACAAATTTGATTTGCAGGAGCATAATATCCAAAGAGGAAGCCGATTATTCTGGAAATCATTTTGAGAACAAAACTTATATCCGAATTATGATGAATCCGAGATTGCATTCATATAAGGCAAATGATTTTAGTAACAGACAAAGGAGAAAGCGGCGGATGCAAAACAATTAAAGGAGACTGTAATACAGACGACGAAAAGGAAAATTATTTATATCTTCTTAAATATAATATCATGATGAGTGGAAAACAAGATACCAATCTTTACATTTTTGAAATCTCCCTGTCATATATGATTTAATTTGTTAATTATAGTTGTTGTCGTTGCATTTTGTTGTTGATGTTGATGATGAAGATGAAAATGTCAAAATGATGATTATGATAGTGCATTTTTTCTAAATAGAGAAGAATATAGATTACAATTACGTTTGCTGATTTGTCAGTCCGTTTTTCTCTATTTTACTGTCAGTAGATGCTTTCAATATGTAAATGATAAATTACATTTGCATCTCAGATCACACTGGTCTGCTGTGGTATTTAGTTTTATGTTTAACAGAAACCTATAATTATTTTTAAAAAAAAACTTAACAGAATGACAGACGTTTTGTATCATTTCCACTAAACCGTCCTTGTGTCCTTGTATTATCTCGTTTCAGGTCCGATAACCGAGTATATTACTCTTTTGAACTTTAAAGTTAAAAATAAAACACACTCAACGTGTGTAAAGTATCATAATAACTGTAGACATTGTTCACCGAGTTTCAAAAATGGTGATTGTTTTTTTAACATTGTTAACAGGTTTTATAGTTGTGGTTTGCTTGTATTAATCATATCCGTCTTAAAAGAAAATAGACTGGTCTAAAAACAAGAGCTGTCGGTAGGACAGCAACACTCGACTATTCTTAGTGCTTGATAGTAAATAAAACCTGATAAAAAGGTAAAAAGTCGAAAAAGGGGCATAATTCTGTCAAAATGCTTGATAGAATTACCTCCTCCTGTCTACAGGTCGGGGTCATGATGGTTAACAAGTGTGCAAAGTTTCAAAGCCATATGTCAATGTACTTTGAAAATATTTAAGGTATTACAAAAACTTCAACGTAAATTCTAAGTCGAAAAGGGGGCATAATTCTGTCAAAATGCTTGATAGAGTTATCTCCTCCTGTCTACAGGTTGGGGTTATGATGGTGAGCAAGTGTGCAAAGTTTCAAAGCCATATGCGAATGGGTTTTTGAAATATTTGAACTATTACAAAAACTTTAACATAAGTGGTTACGCCGACGCCGACGCTCGGGTGACTACAAAAGCTCTACTTATTCTTATCAAATAGTCGAGGTAAAAAGTTGAAATGTGCCTCCAAACGCAGGATCCCTCCCTATCCCCCATTCCCCACCCCCCCCCCCATTAAATCCCCGTCAGATTCTGTTGTCAATTAGTTATAGCCTGCCAGCACTGGGGATATATTTAATTACGGACAATTGTTCTTACGGTCTCAGTTTTGTTTTACAATTCCTGTCTGTCAAGATTCGAGAAATAAATTGCTACAAGGAATCAGTAACTTGTCAGCTGACGGCTAATAAATTGACTTTGCCAGCTCCATCTTGAGCCAAAGATTATTTACAATAGAACAATCATGAAATAGTTAATCAAATGATGAAATCAATTGGCATATTGCTCATATTGGCATAAACGTGGTGTCTCATTTGGGACAAGTCATTCACGGTTAACACATAATTATCGTCCCATATTTTTCAGTTTAATTAAGGGTATATGGCGATATGGAAAGTCTATTTTCTTTGTTAAAATAAATAAAAACTTTTTAAATTGCACGAAACTCTTTTTATAACTGAATCATCAACCTCTGACAATTATAAAAAGCACCGACATTGCCAACGTGTTGAGACACAGAATTTCGCCAAACAACCTACCTTTAAATTAACATTTGATGACTGCAAATATGAAATGTCTATATAAGTAGCAGTTCTTATTTACTTTTTAGTATAACGGAACTGGTGTTACAAGCCTTACACAATGGCATAATAAGGTTTAAACATATTTTTTTAAATGGGACAATTAGAAGAAAGCATACACATTAACTGGTGAAATAAGCATAAAACTAACATTGAAATGGTATAATAGTCGTACAACCATCAATCGAAATGTTATTAAGCATTAAACATTAAATCAAAATGGTAGATAAGTATTTAGGCATCAATTTAAAAGAAGAATAAGCATTAAATCATAAATTGAAATAAAAGAATAAGAATAAAACCATCATTTGAAAGAGTAGAATAAGCATTAAACCATCAATTGAAATGGTAGTTTAAGCATAAAACAATAATTTGAAATTTAGAATATTCATTAAACCATCAATTAAAATGGAAGAATAAGCATAAAACCATACTTTAAAATGGTAGAATAATCATTTAACCATCAATTCAAATGGTAGAATAAGCATTACACTATAATTTGAAATAGTACAAAAGGGATTGAAACATCAATTAGAATAGTAGCATAAGCATAAAACCATCATTTGAAATAGTAGATTAAGCATCAAACCAACTATTGAAATGGTATAATAAGCATAAAACCATCATTTGAAATGGTAGAAAAAGCATTAAACCATTAATTTATATGGTAGAATAAGGATTTAACAATCAATTGAAATGGTATATTAAGCATTAAACCATCTATTGAAATGGTAGAATAAATATTAAATTATAATGGTAAAATGGTATTTTACTTGAAAATGAAATAACACAATACGGATTTAACTCATAAATATCACAGAAAAAAAAATATGTGGCTTAGGATATGTTGCTTCATTTTTCAATTTTGTCCCTTTGCAGCTTATCCGTGACATACAGACTTTTAATCTCTGATCATCTTTCAAAATTACATTTTATTCAGTTTTGCCCATTGTTTTCTCCTTTAGGGCACACGCTTTTTTATTTGGGACGATATGCTGCTTTTCATGGAATGGCACTGATGTGTCATATTTAATGTTCCATGATAACCGCTATATGAACACATTGCTGTTTAAGAATTCAAAATCTTTACAGGTCATGTTTAATGTTGATTTCTGCGTAAGCCGGTGCTAGGGGCTTTCAACTATACTACCGTCAATGAACAAGCTCAATCAAACCGGGCTTACATCATTTGTTTTTTATTTTTGCCGTGTTGGGCTTTCTTTAAGATAACTGTTTTTTATTCTTTATTTTAAACAAAGTCACATTCAACTGTCTACTTAATATACATTCCTAAACAGATTTTGACACAACATTAACTGTCTCGGAAAATACAGGTTAAACGTTTAAAGCAATAAAATTACCTTATATTCGTTCATTTTTGTTCCATGGACAGGCAGCACACGATTAAAGATATAAAATATATATTCAATTTAATGTAAAAAAAATATTTGTAAACATATTACTATTAATATCAAGCAAGAATCATATTTCTTAAAACAAGTTCAGAGTTACTTCATTTTTTGTTCAAACGAATTCTATAGTCTTATTCACACATTTTTTTTCCAATGTCATCTGAAATTTCCACCTGTACGGTTAATAATGAGATAGTTTTATTTTAGATCTAAAATTCATTCATTGCAGACGCGTTTGTAAGGAAATCCCAAATAATTTTTAACAGCATTGGCATTTTTTGTTTCACATAAATGAGAATATGTTCACAAAGTTTAGATATCAGTCTTTACTAAAGCGTCAATATCCTACTAACTAGGTTTTCTGCATCTAACATGCCGTTCACTTTCAAACAAAACAAGAATTGTTTATTGATTATTAAGTTTAATTAAGAATGATTCCATTTAGGGCAATTAAACTTTACATTAGAAAGCCATTCAAATTGGATGTGTTTTTATAGATATTTTCAAAGCAGCACGCCTCCAGATTTATGCTAATTTTCATGAGAATTTTGAAAATGTATTAAAAAGAAAAATATTGTAAAATTACCAAAATGAAGCAATTTACGCATTACAAACAACACTTACAACTCATGTAAATTGTCTAAACGAGGTCCAAATTTAAAAATAACCTTTACTGCGTTAGTTACACTGAATACCTATGGTTATAAATACTGAAAAAAAAATCAATCATAACTCGCACATAACATGTAACATGTAAAATATTACATTGTTATACACAGACTTAAACGGTATATACAATTCTGATGTCTCAACCTATAAAAACAACCCCTCAGACAAACGGGGCTTTGAATCAACGTTATCTGTTCACAACATGCAGATTAAAAAAGTGCAATAATATAATTATCCTTAGAAAACAAAACAATGCTTCTTTAACAACATGTTCAAGAAAAACTTTTTTCCAAGGCTTGCGATATAAATATAAGTTACATTTACTTAATCGATCTTGAACAAACATGCATAGGTCTAATATATTTTAAGAAAAAATAAATATGTCATTAGTTCTGTTCAAAAACACACAAACTGTAATGGTTAAAAAAAGAATATTGTTTAAAGAAACCGATTTATGTATAGGCAGAATGTCAAAACATGACAGCAATGAATTGTTGTCAATTTCGAAGTAATATCAAGTGAATACTTGTATTCTTAAACTTTTGTAAAAGCCAAAAATTAAACAATTTTTTAATACGAAATAAAACTCATAATTATAAAGCCAAGAGAACAAAAAATAAAAAGTTGACTTTTTTGCTTGGGAATAGGAAAAATACAATGCATGTTTAATGTTAACACGCTCAAGTTTAACATACTGAGCAAGTACACACAAAATAAAGCATAATTTTTATCTCATAATATCTTTAGATCTAACATGCGCTTTTCTCTTTTGATAGTCTTATCGATAATAAATAATTCTTCCCGCTTAAAACATCTTATTAAATAATAAATCGGATTAAGAAATCCCTTAGATCATTACTTTTATCATTTGAATCCATTTGAAGTATAACGAGCAGATCGATATACATGTAAATGCAAAAAGTCGTAAAATTCTTGTCATTATGCTCTTTGCAGCCTTATATAATCGTTAGTATAACTTAAAAGATAAACGATGTTGTAACAGTATCAAAAGTATGTAGTTGTGAAATAGTAATCGGAAATTCCAACGATTTTTGCCACTCTCCGTACAATGCAGACTTAAAGGACACTTTACAAAAAAAAACCTTATTTTTGAGATTTCTTTACATGATTTTAAACAAAACTCCGATATTTGTGAACATTTTGGTGTCGGTCTGGATTAATATATCATCATTCCCTTGTTTCCAGAATAATCATTTTTATTGTTCAAAATATTTCCCATTACCGTAAGACTACGTATTTTCCCTTTCAAGTGCTTCACTTGATGTTTGTATGAATTTCGAAATTTTAAGTTTTAGGCTTCTTCACATCAGTGGAGGTTCCTAAATAAACAGTCTTTTGTGTAATATATTTAAGAGTTTATTTCTACGATATATAAAGTTTTCCTAAACATTGTTTGTATCTACTAAAGTCATTGCAAATCATCCACTAGAGTATTCAGCATCAAAGCTGCTCTCGAGAAGAAATCGATATAAATGAATGCAATAACTTGTTATCATAATAACTTGAATCTATGTCACCCATCAACTGCATAATTCTGTAGGAAAATGACATACAAAGTTCATTACGTAATTTTAAAATGAATTGGTCCGAAACGCTGATTTCTTACTTTGTGTATTTAGATTTAATTTGCTTTTAAATATTAATACTCATTCGGAGGTCAAAAGCGACGCAGAAAACTAAAAACGAATTGTTTATTTTATTACAAGAATTAAAAGATTAAAACAACATTATCATTGGCAATTTAAGAGACAGATAATAATAACAATGAGTAATGTCAACAATAAAAGATAAAGCAATTAATGGCCTTTGAGTGTTGTAGGTTAGGTATATTTTGTTTCAAATATCAATTCTTCACATCGTCAAATGAAAAGCCCAAACAGAAACAAAATAGAACATTGGAAATCAATGAGGAAAAGTACAGAGAGGTTAAAGCTTTGTCACGTTTATCTCTAGTCATAGGTACAATTAATTCACTGATTGACTGATGATAACGCAATACGAGTAGAATGATATTATGCTATTATTATGTATTTGGGTGAAAGAAAAAAATGTGACCGACCGACTATTATACTGATAAATATCTAGAATATCTTAAATAAGAAATATATTAAGTAGTAGATTGGCCCTTCATGAAAATTTATTTATATCAGGTAGGTTAATGACTTTACTAGAAAGAACGAACAACATAAAAATTGTTTATTTCATTTAATGATATAAATGTCAGATTGATGCAACTTCTTAAATCTGCAAGCTATTCCACATAGAGAAGCCATCCTGAGAACGTTGAATAGTAATCTCCAGCTAGAGTTCCGCTGTGCCACGTGCCAGATCGTACCCACACCTCTTCACCTGATACAAGTTGAGTTAATGAAACTTTTGTGTATGAATGATCTTTAAGTCTTGAACTTTTTAATTGTCACGTTATGCATACCTAGTTCACAACAATATAAATCCTTTGTTTACATAGCGTTGTTTATTAGCGTTGTGTTTGCACTTAAGACAGCATTAGCTAAATCCCAAAATGAGAGTGGGATTTTTGTAGATACTTTTCATACTTCTGTTGCAATTCAAAAGTCCCAAATATTTTTCACAAGATTTAAAATTGAACTTAGAAAAATAAATATCATTAAAATTTAAATATCATATATGTCTGAAACGAAGTGTTTTTGGTAAAAAAAAGATTATACCTTTTAGAATTTTTTTTAAAGAAATTTACCAGCTTTTAGTTGCAAGACAGCTGAATTAGATGCCGCTGCATAATCAGCATGGTCCGCGGCATCTGACATAGATTTTCCCACAACAGTAGAATTCTTTACAAGCTCGGTGTTCATGTAACTGTGGTCTTTATTTGTGTTCAGCCAGAAAAACACGTATGTCCCCTGCAGTGGTGCAGTGAATATACCATCTACTGGATTGTACCTTAAAATATATGTCTTTAATTTCGTTACATATATATAATTTGATATCAAACAAGTTTTTCCTTTTCCGCATCTTCTTCCAGAAATCAGAAGCAAAACAATATTTCAAATATCAATCAAAAGAAATTACACCATCGTTAATTAAACATTTTCAGATTAACTGTTGTATAATCTCGAAGCATTTAAACCATTAGTTAATAAATCATGTTTATGTCCAAAGCAATGAAAACATGTATATTTATGGAAAGCTAAAAAGGTTGTTGTTTTTTTATAAAAAAAAAATATCACTCCATTCACATGCTTATTTGCTTTATATAACAAAAGCTTGCAGTAAACATTATTTACCCGTGTCCAACATTTGTTGTAACAATATCAAAAATTATTGTTTGATGGTTTCCAATATTTCCTACATCTTTTGATAGTTGTGTATAAAAAGCCACTGTATTGACCCCATCATCTAATAGAAAACGTTTGGAATCTGAAAGTATTTAAGTAAGTTAGGTAAAGAATCTTACTAGCAATAAAAGGTTTAAATATACCTTCTCCCTTCTTGGTTTTGTCCCTTTTGCAATTTTTCTTGTGTGTGTGTGTGTGTGTGTGTGTGTGTGTGTGTGTGTGTTTTTGTTGTTGTTTTGACTGGGTTTGTCGAGAATGCGTTCTGCAAGAGTAGCATTACCTTGTTGATCTTTTAACATTTCTTTTAGATTGTAATATTTTCCCTTAAAATTTACTGACAACACTACAATTGAGTAGACCTGAAACTTGCTTTTAATTGGTGTTCGTTTTTCTGACATGTGACATTGCACGTTTAGATTGTCATGCACGCGTGTTGTTTTAAAGGGACTATATGATAGAAGTGTGGTATTCAAACTACAATCGTGTGACAAATACTTGAAGGAGATGGGCTGCAAGTGAACACTACTTGTCCTTTAATCGCTTTTTATTTCAAAGCATTGATGATTATATACCTCGTTTATTTATTTTTTACACTAAATGGGACCAAAAAAAAACAACCAAAATATCATCAATACTAATTTACAAGCACGAACTAATTTATTTCTGCAGGAATCTTATTGATTCTTTCGCAGCTTTAATTCAAGCCTATACTAAATGTTATGAAATTCGAATGGAAGCAAACAAAATGAATTAATTTTGCGTAATGAAACCGAGAAAAAACTTTTATTGTATTTTATAAGAATAAATGAAGAATTTGCACAAGAGTAAAATATTTCACAACCTCCATTTTAACGAGATAACTTACAAATGTATAAGAAAAAATGCTCGAGAGGCTATCATTTGGAGATATATTAATAAATAGTTCATTTTTGTAAAAATGTCACAATCAAGAACTTCAGACAGTCCACATTAAAAACAAACGATAAGTGTTTGCATTAATCAAAAGCAATTTAATGGTTGCACAAATATCCAATGAATATTTATATAAACAATTTCCGTAATGTTTTGATAATGCTGAAATCTAACTTCAAATGCATTTAGATTGTATTAACGTTCACGTTAAAGGTATTGTAATATATATTAATTTAAAAATAATTATTTCAGTAGTTAAAAAAGCTTACCTTTCTTAACGCTCTCAAGCTTTTGAAGCCTTTCTTCAATCTTTTCAAATCTAGCAAGGCATTCGTCTAGAGTAATGTTTGTCCCCTCAACTTGAAACTGTAGAAAACATGCGAGAAAAATTAAAAGTTTCAAAGACAATATGAAAGCCATGTTTATGATAAAGTCACTGAAAGAATTGTATGAATATAAAATTAATATAGTACATTAAATTTCGTGTGATCCACAAGAGACAAATTTTAGTGGAACAGAAGATAAGAAACCTCACTAGTATTTCATTATAATGAACGATGTTTATTCTGAAATATGCCCTATTTTCATATTGTTAAGTCCTATCAGTAATAAGATACATGTCTTTGAACTTTGAATTCATTAAATAGGGCATTTCTGAACCATAAAAAACTTAAGATTGTCGATTGATATGTACTTTAATGGAATTCCTCTGAGATCCAAATTCTAAAACAAAATGATTTGCAAAACCTAATTGAGATATATACTCAGGAATGATTTTAAAAATCGTTTTTTATAACATTCTTAGCCCGATTCAGTAAAAAGGTCTACTTAGTACACCTATATAAATGAAATATTAATCTTAAAAAGTAAGTCTTATCTAAGCAAGATCACCGCTAGGCGGAGCATTATATGCCCAAAAATCAATAGGGGTCTTCTACCCAATACGGATAATCATCCTATGAAGTTCGAATATTGTTGGCCAAATGGAACTTGAGTTATGTTCCGGAAACTGTTTTCATATTTAAGGTAATAGTGACCATGACCCTTGACCTTATGACTCCAAAATTAGTAGGCCTCTTTTACCCAATATGGACAATTATCCTATGAAGTTTGAACACTGTGGGCCAAATGCAACTTAAGTTATGCTCCGGAAACTGTTTTCAGTTTTAAGGTGATAGTGACCTTGACTTTTGACCTTGTGACCCTAAAATCATTGGGGTATCTACCCTATATGGACAATCATCCTATGATGTTTGAATATTGTGGGCCAAACGGAACTTAAGTTATGTTCCGGAAACCAAATTGTTAACGGACGGACAGACGGGCGGACGGATAGATAGACGGACGGACGCCAGGGGTATAATATAATTTGTCCGCATTATAAACACGGTTGAGTCAGTCATTTTAAATGGTTTATTTAGAAGTAAAATCAAATAAGAAATCTTACTAAAATATACTAAAATAAAAATAACTTTTAATGACTAGGTGTTCGATCTTTAGACAGCGTCAATTTGTACATTTGGTCGGTTAACTTTGAGATTAATTACCCTTGCTGTTTCTTATATTCCAACTGGATCATTTTAGGAATATATTGTTTGCATTTTTGAGTATTTCCTTTTCAATTGACACAAATAAAAAAATCAAATTAGCAATATCTTATTGTCCTTTTTTCGTAAACGATAAATAATTATTAAACTAGGACAGCATTCCTTTGTTCACAACATGGTAGAAATGTGTAACATCAAAGGTTGCTCCTCATTAGCGTAACGAATAATTGGCTTAACTACTAACTATATTCATAACTGGTTGATTTTGTGGTGTTTTGGTGTTGAATTTTGTTAAGCACTATTGTGTCAACGGTTTTGAAATCATTGTATACCCGGATTTGTAATAGATAAACGTTGTTATGGTTCGTTACAAAAAAGAGCACAGAGCAAAACAAGTTGAGGCAATGACACATCAATGAATTAATTGCTTCCGCCTGTTGGAAATGAAATTAAATATTGATTCTGTCAATTTTTATGTGGAATTATTGATATTTGCATTTAATAAGAGATAACAGAGTATAATAGTTTATATTTTCTATTTTATTGATTCATCAATCCTTGAGTATAATACTTAGATTTTATAGTTTATTAAGATAGCTGATGAAGCTATATTGCATAATGTATCTTTTATCTAGAGGTCGTATATTTGCTTCTAATGCATTATTTTTCAATGACAATATAATAGAATTATTATTATCATTCTTATTATTATTATTATTATTATTATTATTATTATTATTATTATTATTATTATTATTATTATTATTATTATTATTATATTAAAGGAGCAATAAAAACAACTTATTTATTATTTATTAATTTATGATTCTTCTTTACTTCGAATACATTGCTATTAAACTGCAAACACACAAACTGTAATTAAGTCATTTACTTTATCTAACTAGTCAGTGACAATTGACCTTTATAAGCAAAGGAATTAGTGTTTCCTGTAGAAACTAAATCAGTTTGTTTCACTTTTAATGAAAATTATAGATGGACATCTTTTCTAAATGTTATAACCACATTGACATGAATATCTAGGCATTATTTGAAAACTTTGTCTCGTTTGTAACGATACTAAATAATGATATCCTCATTGATATTATCATCTTTGACATAAACTTACCCTTGTTAATTCTCTCTAAGTCATTTATTCTACATAGCAGTTTATTCACTTATTTCACAGATTATAGCTAACCTTAAAGAGGTTATGACAATGTAAGCATTCCTATAAAATAGTGATTTACTCATTAACAGACGTTCACAAATAATCTTACTTAAGCACCAAATGAAAGGCATCATAGCATCATTATTCTCTGAACTTTTTGTCTTCGTTGGCCTTAAGAGACAAGAGTTCACACGCTTTTAGCTGACGACTCTTTCTAAATATTTTTCAAAATTACTATACATTTTATTCATAAAATCGTAAGAAGACCGAATCTGAATATATTTCTTCCGAAATGAATTGACCATGGATTAAAGAGCTATGAGACGTGTCACAGTCAACTCATGTTTTTCATCCGATTTCGTCAAAAAAGGTGTCAGTAGCCAAACTTTTGTGTAAAAAAAATACTTTTTAACATGAATTGCTTTTTGATTTGTACTATCTAGTTGACATTGTGAATTGAGTTTTTGCTATTATAAGGGATGATCTAGAAAAAGGTGCATACTACAATGACTGTTACATAAAGATACATGTACATCGGCGGAACGAAAACTTAAAATCAATGATGTATCTGTATTTTGGTGTATAAGGAAATTAACTTACTTCGCAGTCTATAAACGACGCTTCTTTGGCGGAGCCATGATTATTTAAGACGCACTTTAACGGTCTTGGACGACACTTAGTCATTACGATTCAAACGTCAAAGTTGACTTTTGCAAAAGTAAAAAATAAGGAAAGCAGTGTGATAATTTCTGACTTATTCGGGTATTTCTGGTTCATTGCATGTATAATTTAAGACGCATTAGCCGATATCTTGATATAATATATAACATGTTTAGTTTGTATGAAGAATAGACGGCAAAGGCAAATGACTACAATTGAAACGAGAAGTACAAAACAACAAGTGAACATTTTATTCTCTTATAACAGTCTCAGCATTGCATGATCAACCTAATCCTCGTAAAGAAGATATCCTGAAAACGTTGTATAGTAATCTCCTCGAACAGTAGCGCTGTGCCAAGTTCCAGATCGTACCCATACTTCTTGCCCTGGTTTTTGTGATTGTTATGAAATAGATTGAACATATTTATACTTATAAAGGATATTTTAATGTATACCATGTAAACGTTATGTTAAGTTTGGAACATTTTGAATTAAATAGAGAATGTCCAGAATGATTAATGCTAATAACAATTCCAAATTGGTTGCAAAAATGCTACATCATTGATTCTGAAAGGTATATGTTTTAAATACACGTGTTCTATTGGATACCTGTTTTGAGCTGCAGAACAGCTGAATTGGATGCTGCTGCATAATCATCGTGGTCCATTGCATCAGACATGGACTTCCCGACGACAACAGCATCTCTGACCAGTTCTGTATTCATGTAAGAGCGGTCTCTATTTGTGTTCAGCCAGAAAAAGACGTATATTCCATCAACTGGTGCAGTAAATATACCATCAACTGGATTGTACCTTCAATAAGTAAATTGATACAATAATTTTATCGAAGAACAAAAAAGAACTCAAAATGTTTGAATATTATTAATACTACGCCTTGCACTTTCTTAACCTATCCTAATCCCTCTCCCTTTTTAGTCCCCTGAAACTTGATATATGGAGATGGCAGTATGGAGATTATGCACGTCTTTTTTTTCTTCCTTTGTTGAAAATTCTGGTTGCTATGGTAACAAACAGGCTGAAAATATGGCAAATTTAACACATAAACTGGGTCCAGTGATAACTCAGAAAGTACTTAAAATATTTTTATGAAACTTGAAATATGGGTAGATGGCAGTCTGGAGATTATGCACATCTCTTTTTTTTCTTCCTATGTTGAAAAATCTGGTTGCCATGGCAACAAATAGCCTGAATTTTAAGATTTCTGATTTAATTATTTTAGCTTTTTCACTATAAGTTCTGTATATCTTAAGGTGTTAACATCAATATTTAAATATAAGTTTAAGTGACAAGGTTTACAACTCTAGCACAAAAATTATCAGTATTACCTCCCTTGAACTTAGAATCTTTATTAAAAAAAATGTTGTATTTTTTAAATAACTTCTTTATTTCCTAATGTCTCTACTTCAAACTTCATATATATGTTTTTATTATCACTCAACATTTTTGAGACGGTTAAATACTCTAGCAAGACTATTTCCAGAATTATGTCCCCCTTAAACTGAGATTTTTTTTTTCGAGAAATTGGTATTTTTCACTCCAACTTCTTCATTCCTATGATTAACTTTAAAATCCCACATCGTAATAATATGACAAGGTTGTATAAACATAATTTCCTTACAAGGCAGGGAAACTTAACACATTACTGTGATATAGACAAACTTAGAACTCAAAAGATTTAAGTTCATTCATGTCATTCATACACTGGTAAAATTGAATGGCCAATGGCCCATAAGAATGTTGCTGGGGGTTCTAACCGGTAGGGGACTTATGGATTGCTTGCAATACTATGATAATTGCTTGTTTTCCTTTGCTTTTTCCTGTTCAGTTACCCTCTGCAACAGTGTGCATATTACAATAATTCTGGAAACAAAGTGATCCCTCAGAAGCATTTATCACAACAAAATAACATAAGAATTGCAGACTCGGTTTGATTGAGTCTGTACATGAGGGATAATGTATAAGTGCAACATCCTTCACGCCCCCTAGCACCGGCTTGAGCGGTACTCAATTATCAACACTTAATAGTGTTGGCATCAATGATCCCGAAGGACCAGAAAAAAATATAAAAACACTGAAACTTCACCACAGAGATTTTGTTGTAAAACACACATGTCAATGTGTGTGTAAATCTATTGTTATAAAAATAGAATGTCAGAATAGAGGTGAGATCTATTATAATTTCTTGTTTTTGGCTATTACTTTTGAAAGCCATAACCTAAATTATTAACCTTTTTTGTTATTTATATAAGTAATAATAACTATACTGTCTTAATGAAAATATAATTTAACTTAGTTAATTGGTGAATCAAAGGAAATATGATTTAGTTAAGAATATTTATTTAAGTAATAGAAAGAGCATCGAAAAACATGGCTATCTGATATTTCTTCCGCTATCCATTTCTCTGCAGTCACAGTAAGTAAACTTCAGAAACAAAATGAGTCAATCAATGGGTATGCTTTGGAATGCGGGTAACTTATATCTGCACTCAAGTTAACTCATTGTGCATACAATGTGTATACGATTTAAATCTGACATATTTTCAACAGAAACGTCCCCAATTTATGATTAAACTTGCTTTTACGGAAAGCATATAACATTAATATCAAATAACAAAACGTGACCTGACTCAGTCCTCCAAATACAAGTATAGTACAAACTTACCCGTTTCCAACATTGGTCGTAACAGTGTCAAATACGATTGTTTGGTGGTCTCCAACGCGGTTGGCGTCTTTGGAAAGCTGTGTATAAAATGCCACTTTGCTACCTTCGCCGTCTGGGAGCATTGAAAGTCGTTTTGTTACTGAAACAAATTTGTACGAAAAATGAAGAAAATGAAAGTAATTTCAATGTGTGTAAAGAGGTAATAATACATTACATGACTGAAAATGAACGTACAGCGATCGAACAACACCGATATTTGACGATTGATTTTGCAAGCAATGCATATGTACTAAGAGTAGGTGTGTAGAAATCCTTATGTTTATCAAGCCATCACTGGTGAAAAGACATTTACACTGAAAATGGTCTTACAAAGGGGTTTAACTAAAAAGTTGAGACCGAGCAGCATTGTTTTTGACAGTACTCGCCATTATGTGAATCATATTACATTACAAGAAAAATATTTAATTTCTTTCTGTAATTTGATTACTGGTCTCAAGAATAATAAATCTTAGGAAAGGTTATTGTATAAGTAATTAATGGAATCATAAAAAATCAAAATGGCAAACCTTTAGTTTCGCTTTCAAGCGTTTGAAGCCTCTCTTCGACTTTGTCAAATTTCACAAGACATTCTTCTAGCGTCGAAATCTTGCCCTCAACACGGAACAATAGACAAGTTAATAAGGAAAATAACAATTTAATAAACATTATGTCAAGCACTTCTCATTCACTAGATCTTTGATTAAAATAAGATAACAGGATACTAACGTTATATGGCCCAGAACAACAGAGAGATAAGAGAAAACTTTTGAACTTTGTGTGGTTTTAACGCCTGTAGGGGATTCATTCATATTCATAAACTGAAATAGTGATAAGCAACTAAAACCCCAGATAATTCGTTAACAGAATCATAGTTATGATGTATTTTATTACCTCCATAACGTATATTATTAATAGTTTAAATACGGTTACTGCAGTGGCTTATTCATTATTATCAAATTGTATATTGAAATACATAGAGGATATTGAATTAGTGTAGTTTAATAATTACTTTATTGAACGAGTTGGATAAAATCATATTTTGCGAGCCTCTGGCGAGCATAATATTGTTTTATTCAACGAGTTCAAAAAATTTAGTATTGAATCTACACGAATATAATTTTCTATCTATCACATATATAAAATAAGAACAATAAACTGTTAAAATGAGTATTTTTTCAATGACGCCACAAAAGTGTAACGCTAACATTAGCGCGTTTTAACGCTATGTTTCTCTATAGCGCAAATGACGTCACGTCAAAATGTTATTACACTAGTGTAATATCGTTTTTATTAAATGGTTTTATTACACTCCTGCGCCGCGGTTTATGTGATAAATATATCTATCAAACATTTCAAACGCTGGCGATCATACTCAGTTCTGTTCCTAAGTAAATTCACTGATGGGGCATCTGAGATCTTTCATCTCCAGTAAAGCTGTAAAGAAGACATATGACTTTTAAAATATTGGTGACAAAATGCATATATATATATATATATATATATATATATATATATATATATATATATATATATATATATATATATATATATATATATATATATATATATATATATATATATACGTTCAAAGTTAAACAAACGATAAAAAAGCATTTGTATTTGAAGAAATGAACAGAAAAAATATTACAACATTAGCAGCAATTATGGACTTATAGAATAACCGCCTTAAGATTGGTATTCAAATTTCCATTTGTGTTAATTTTTATAGCTTGTCAAGAAGCAAACAAAATCGTTTTTACACGTTACGTATTTTACCCTAAACATAACCCTATTTAAAACCTTATGCAACTTCTAATTATTTAAGTTATTACAACCAAGTGACCTTTCCATAGGAATCGTGTCTCGAAACATTTGCACCGACTTATTGATAATGATAACTGCAGCTTGTAATTTTGTACTTTAAGCAGGCTAAATAAGTGCTTAAGGCTGCAAATAAAAATGTTCATCGATTGAAAGTAATTAGGTTAACTCTTTTTAAACCTAAAGAACTGCTAAACGTATGTATCAAAGAACAGTTCTTAATGATTTAAGTCATATTTCACCATTAAATGCTTGAAAGCTTAGTGTAAGCAATAAGTTCAAAACTGTTTCACTTGTTTGGCCTTAAAATGATCGATTGAGTTGATAGATATTGATGTTGTTTTTGGGTTTAATTCTCTTTTATTTGCGAATGTGTCGGATGTTTAATTTATCTTAGACGTTACTGCATACACACCTTTGCCAAACACAGAAAAATTATTTACCAATTCTTACCAAAATGCGTAAGTTTTTTTATAATTTGATATTTATTTGCACGTACCGACAATTGTGTTTGTGTTTTTTTTCTATATAAATTGTGACAATGATTGTCCAAACACCTCCCTTTAATACAGTACATGTATTATGAAAGTCATTTCCGTTCATATGAGAAGAGTCATCAATACAAGAAGATATTGGCAATATTGTTTAGTTTATTTAAGTCATCCATGCAACGCTTTCAATCAGCCAGTGCTTTTCTGCATCCATCTAAAAATTCCAACTAGGCAGGAGGATATTGATGGACTATCGGAATTATTTAGACTTAATGTGTGAATGCTTGACACAAAATTGTCAAACCTTCCATTTTCTTAAAGTGTCTTACTATTTTTAGCCAGTTTATGAAAAAAATGCATAACATTATCCTAAAGGTTTTTTTAAAAAAAAAAAAACTTCTTATTCAAAGCTTTGGCAGTGAAACGAACTAATAGAAACATTGCAGATTGATTTCCAATTACAAAATTTAAAAAAGTGTCGTTACATCATTTTAGTATTGTTCGTATGAAAAGGTACACGTTATTTAATGTGTCAGATATGCAAATATATTTAATGAATATGTTCAGCGCAGTACAATAATATTGAACGATAAATTTGAATAATCCTTACTTACGCACTGATGAACAGAGGATAATTACCAGTGTATCATTTGATTTGAGACTTGACCTTGACACAGAATAATTACTGATTACAACACTAACGAGCGAAGAAAACAAATGAAAAGATTATTACACAAGTTTATCAAATCAGACATAACCTTGACATACAATAATAATTAATGATCCGGATAAAAAGCAAAAGTAGTCAGAATTCTTGGAAAATGGAACGGAAAGATGAAGCTGAAAAACCAATGCTGGGGAACATTATAAAACAAACGTGTATGAGTTATCATGAAACACAATCAGGGGGGATATTGTATTCATATCAAGCTGTTTGCTCTCTGGAATAAAACGTTCTTGGTACCAACGTAGCTTATTGTGCATACATAGAGTGACTTGGAAATTCAAATACGCTTAATTGGTTTTAATATTTACCTCCATATAAAATAAATGAGAAATGGATACTATTATACGTATTGAATAAAATTTTATGAATAAGATATAAAGACAATTTATTTTCACTTTATAAAATGCAATACATATAAAATTCAAAAGCCTACCTGCTTACTGTTTTGTTTGTGCTAGATATTATGTCAACGTTTGTTTTAACTGAATTACTTAACAATTGCGTAACAAACTTGCTTCCCAATTTCGCCCTCACCTCTGCTTTTGTTTGGAGCCGTGCTAGATTCCTTATGCCTATTCCATTGTTCGTACGGTGCCCTAATCGGTTCCGTATTGGTGGTCTTGAGTGGCTAGATTGTGTCTGTGGCTGCGCTTTTTAAATGCCGCCTTTCTTAGTTGAGTTTTGTTCTTCCTCGTTATTCTTTGAATGAGTAATGTAAGTGTGTTCATGTTATATTCACGACCTTGCCTATCTTTGTTTATCGTTATCAGATTGTACGTGGTAGCTTTTAAATTTCAAACCAAGTGTACCCAACTGTCTTTTAATTTAATTTACAAAGGTAATTAATGGTTGTGATTTAATTTCAAAAGAAGTATGCACAGCTGGATTTCTGTTTTTGTCAAATTAATCGTGAGTTATTTTATTCTAATCAACAACGTGGAACTCACATGGCATTTATCAAGGTCAAATATCCAAGTTCTATTCTTTCAATATTTGGATCATAAATTAATTGATAAAGCAAGTCATAAGGTCTTATCAACAAATTCAAGGAAATGTCACAAATATGGTTTATCTTAAGGTTAAATGTATGAGTTCTACTTCGCGATCTTCATCTGTACACTATTGTCAATGGTACATTTTTTTTAACAATAGTAACGGTAATTATCACATGTTTGGCATAAGCCCACACCCTACCCCGTCCCTGCCAAAATTATTGAAAATGTTAAGGATAAATGCATGTCACGAAATAAAAGTAATTTTAGCACATGGCCATTTTTATAAATGAAAAATAACATAGTGTCTGAGTAGCATACTGCGCAGTGTTATTGTAAATAATGCATACACATAAGCCCACATTTCCCGTCCCTGCCAAATGTCGTTGTATTTGATTTTTTTTTTTCAAAAAAAGTTATTGTAATTATCGCATGTTTGACATAAGCCCCCATTCACCGTTCCTGCCAAATGTCGATTTTTTATTACACTCCATACTTCATGTACAATATGTACTTGCTGAATTAAGCAGTTATTAAAATAGTGTGTATGCATTATTTACAATAATACTGCGCAGTATGCTACACAGACAACATGTTTTTTATCATTTATAAACACTGACCTAAAGGGATATTTAGGCAAAATAATGACAAAAATATTAAAATGATCTTATGAACTCAAATCACTCTAAAGTGGCATTTCTTAAAGTTTCAGCATGAATTTCTGTTTAAATTATATATATTTTTGGTTTTAAGCGTAAATGTATCTATGTATGTTGAACAAAATTTAGACGCCAATAGAATCACCGAATAGTTCTAAAACAAGTCAGGTGACTTGTACAAACCTTTGAAGTGACAATAACAGATATTGTGGATATTGTATGATTGAAACAAGTCTGAGTCATTCATTTCACATGTTCTTTAACGTTTACAGAGTTCATTGTGACACCTATTGTGAAATCCTAGCGCTCTAACCTGACCCACGCGGGTCAAGTTAGGAAACCACTATTTTATTCTTTATATGGAGAAAATTTTTGTTCCTTTGACCGTCTAATATATTCATTTTGAGGACATTTACAGAATAATGAATGAAGAAATCAAAAATAAGAAATGAAAATTTTGCCTGTGTCTCCCTGATTACTTGAATTTCGTGATATGCATTTATCTGTAACATTTTCAATAAATAATAATTGAGTAAACATCATGGCAGATGGAGACATAAGGTACATTCTAGATACATGGATATAATTGAGCCGCGTCATGACAAAACCAACATAGTGCGTTTGCGACCAGCATGGATCCAGACCAGTCTGCGCATCCGCGCAGTCTGATCCGGATCCATGCTGTTCGCTTACTAACCCTATTATAAGTAGAGAAACTAATAGCGAACGGCATGGATCCTGATCAGACTGCTCGGATGCAATAAGAACTTAGAACTAAATCTGGAGAGTATGGTGGGTGTAAGAAACCGTTAATCTTCTTCCACTTCGAAATTTGCTACACAAGCTTAGACGTATGTGATGGAGCAACATCATATTTTAGACGGACATGCCCAAAACCTGACACAGGAACATGGTTTTGCCAGTCAAAAATTTATTTCTCCACCTTCTGACTGTCTTATAAAACACCCTACCAAAAATAGATTTTCTCCAATTAAGTAAACATCTGCCTCTTCCCCAAATGACTGAGTTTTGTGC